AGGAAATGCCAGCCCTTCTATCCAGCAAGTGATTTCTGCAGACACCTGGGGTGGGGAGAGGACCAGAATCCCTGCCTTGCTGTGTAGTGTAATAGGGGATCTGGGAAAGTCATTGCTGGAGAGGAGAAAAGGCAAGAGGTCCCTGCTGCAGTGCGCCCTTTGCTGCTCCCTAGGATTTGTGTGCTAAAAGCTAGCCTTTGCTGTTCGCTCTCTTCCGTATGGCCTGCAGTACAAGGCAGCAGTGTATGAGGGCTGAGAAGGGAGTGGAGAAGAGAAAATGGTGAGTCTCTTGAGAGAGCAAAGTTGGGGGTGATCTGCCAGCTAAAAGCAGGTGGCTTCTGAGTGCTAGCCCACTTATGTCATGGCTGCTCCAGCATTCAAGCACAAAATGAGATTACTCTCCAGTTGAGAACAATAAAAAAGGCAATAGAAGTCGGAACGGAATTTAGGAGAGGTGATGTGTGATAAGAGCCCACGGATGTTTACAAAGCATGCGGCATGTTTGTGTTAAGGATAAGAAACTTAACTGTAGCCATGGAAAGCTCTTTAAAGAAACTGTGGGGTTGGAGAAGCTGTAGAGAGGAGATGGTTAAACCCTGCTCCTAGACGAAAAGACTTGCAACAGCAACTGCCCTGCAAAGGCACTCCGAGCCTTGAATACAAGAGGGAACCTAGTCTGCTAATAGCAAAGGCTCCCTTTCTTCTTCTCGTCCCAGGAAAGCTGCTGCGCTTACCAGATGCGGCAGCTAAAGGAAATGGTGTGACTTGCAGAAACCACAAGAAAGCACGAGGGCTCAAGTGAAGTCTCCTTAGCAGTGTGGGAGCTGTCTCCACGCACAGGTGAAGAGCAGTTGGAGAAGTGCCATCAGCCCTTACCTAGCCTACTCCCAGAAGGTGCAGTTTTGCTTGTGTTGCTCCCTGTGCTAAACTGTGCCATGCTGGTATGTTCCTGTGTCCCTCTTGTGGTGCAGGGATGTGAAAGGCAGTGCAAGAGCACAGACACTGAGCAGGAATCACTCTTTGTCTTGTCAGTTAGCCGCGAGCCCAGATGTGCTGATAAAAAGAACAAAAGCCCTCCTTGTTCTGGCCCCTAACAGTCGATCTGTGGGCAGTTGGCATCAGAGTTAGATCCTGTCTGATGCAATCTTCAACTCTTTGGCAAGTCTTTCCAAATTCTGGACGTTGGTATTTCTGTTAGATCAGTCCTGTGATGATGGCAGTGACTAGGTGCAACGCCTGGGGAGGGCCATGAAGGAGGACTACTGTGACCTGCTGTAGCTCAAGCCTTAGGAGCTACAGTGGTGATTTGCTCCCACGTTCTCTCCAGAACGTGGTACCAGCTCCAGGATAACTGGCTCGGTTCGTGTCCGATTCACCTGCTTTCTTGCAGTGACTGCTGTCCCATGGGTGTTTCTGCTACTTCTCTGTTGGGCTGCAGGGAACAAATTGGAGAATGGCAGTAGATGTCCCAGCCATGCAGCTCTAGTGGAAGCTCTGCCTTGGCCAGTGGACCCACAACTCTGCTCCCCCTTTGTCCTGCTGTTCCTGAGACGGCTGCGAGAGCACAGCCGGGGGGAGCCAGTGGCTGCTCACAGGCACAAACAGTCCAAGGAATGCACAGCTCCGTTTGTGGACTGAGCAGGACACAGTGGTTGGGTGGATCCATTTCTCACTACTTGTTGTTTCCAAGCAGAAGCCTCATCTCTTTCCAGGAGATACACTTAATAAGCCCAGGATCTGGATTTGTGTAACAGTGATCTGGGCTGCTTTGCTAGTTAGGTGGCTGTTTGCGTTGCAGCAGCTGAATAATGGCTTGGTCCCTTTGACACAGCAGCTGCCTCAAAAAGCAGAACTGCAGCTCAGTGTGTCTGAGTGCCTGTCTTTCACGAGTGTCTGTTCACAGGACAGCTTGGAAGAGTTGAGGCTGAAAGGGGAGAACCTGTTGGCGGACATGTCAGTAGTGCTTGAGAGCCCTCGTTACGGGCCTGGCCTTACTGTGCCAACGGCCTCTGAGTACAGAGTTCAAGTGATGCTCTGCCCCAGTTTATAGTCCCATCGGAGTGAGACGTCAGAGGAAACCCACTGTGCCCACACACTGCAGGTGGTGCCCTACCTGTCTGTCTTTTTTGTAGACGTTGCAGCGCAGGGGTATTTAAAGGGGTTTGAAGAAAGCAAGAGAATCGTAGCTCTGTTCTTGGAGGGCCGGAAGGGGGAAGGAAAGGAGAAAGTTTTGAGCTGAACACTAGTAAGTGCATGACAGTCTGGTAGCAAGAGCGAGCTGAAAATGGGAACTGATGTCTTGATAGTGAACAAGGCTTTGACAGGATGATGAGACTTGTTTGCTGTGACTGGGGAGGGAAGGATGATAGCTGTCAGAGGTACCTGTTAAAAAAGAAGTTGAAAAAAAAAATCAGTGAAGGGAGGGAAAACAGGTATTTGTAGCAGCCCCATGAAGTGAAATGAGCAAAACAAACTGCATTTGCCAGGGCCTGACAGTATTGAAGAGCAGGTATAAGGTGACAAATCTTGAGCGTGGAAGACATGAAGCTTGGACACAAGATGGGGAGGTAAGTGCACAGGTCAAAGCAATGCTCAGGATAAAGGTCTGAGAGATGAGACATTTGGCTTGTGAAAGCCAGTGTGGCTGGTGCTGATGGCCCCAGAACCCTTGTGGTTTTTCTCCAGGTCCGCTACTCCTCTGCCTACCCTGACAGGGAGACTCTCAAGCCCTTTTCCCTGGCTTTGTCCGCCCTGGGGAGTTGGAGGTGGAGCTCTTGAGTTGGAAGTGACCAGCTCTAGCTATAGATCTGGTACCACAGGTCACAGCAGGAAGTCTGTGCCACTTAGGAAACGCTCTAAAGTAGGATGCTTCTTCCTTCTTCTCCTAACCTCATGCCAACCCTTGGAAACACAGCATCTGGAGGACAAGAAGGTGATCAGGAGTAGTCAGCATGGCTTCACCAAAGGGAAATCATGCTTGACCAATCTGATAGCCTTCTATGACGGAATGACTGGCTGGGTAGATGAGGGCAGAGCAGTGGATGTTGTCTTTCTGGACTTCAGCAAGGATTTTGACACTGTCTCCCATCACATCCTCCTAGGTAAGCTCAGGAAGTGTGGGCTAGATGAGTGGACGGTGAGGTGGCTTGAGAACTGGCTGGATGGCCGAGCTCAGAGAACTCTGTGGCACGTAGGAAACGCTTTAAAGTAGGATGCTTCTTCCTTCTTCTCCTAACCTCATGCCAACCCTTGGAAACGTGTATGGAGAAACTAGACAAACACCACTAGTTCTCTCTCACCCCCTCACTATCTAGCCCTGAATTTCCAAGCTGGCTATCCAGTATCTATGTACTTGCGCTGCTCTCAACTCTCCCCTAGGTCCTGCTTGTGGCCCCTGTACCAGATGGATCCTTGGTGTGACTGACCCAGGATAGCTCTTTTTATGTTCACCATCTCTTTCTGGTTCAGATTATGGAGAAAGTCATGGCAAAATTTACCTCAAACCACCTGAGAAGCTGTAATGATCCTGAGCAGCTGAAAAACCTTGGCAGGCAAAAGGATGCTGCATTCAACAGTGAAGATGCACCCTTCTGCAGAGATCCAGGGCTAGCACCAAAAAAAAAAGAGAGCCGCAACACCAGCAAGATCTTAGCTAGCATAGTCTACCTTGTCTGAGCTGTTGAGCAAACATACCATGTAGCGTGGCACTGTGGATGGGCCCCAGTTGCTCAGCTGACGTGTAGCAACTGAGCTGAGGTGGAAGGGCAGCTCACTGCCTGGAGCCCCACAAACCTGCTGGCAGTGGAAAAGCTACTTCCCCTTGATGCTGGTTAGACCTGCCTCTGCCAAGATGTCAGATAAGGGTTTTCTGGCAAGAACTGCCTTGATTCAGTCTGGTCCTTTCAGCAAAGAGCATTGCTGCACTTGCAGAGCGGCCCATCAGGGTAACGAGCTGTTTTTACTCTGGCTGATGGCTCCCAAATGCTCTCTTGCCTGTGGGGCGTAGCCAGGCTTCAAGGTGCCCAAGCGTTAAAGCAGGATCTCTCTTCCAGCAGCGACTGATTCCCTGTGCTGGCAGTCGGACGTGCCTGTGCGTGCACAGCCCTGTGCAGCTGTGTTCAGGTAACGACAGCTGCACACTTGCTGCTTTGCTCAGTGCATCTCCTTCATCTCAGCCCTCAGCTGGATTTGTTTCCCTACTGCTTGGCAGGTCTGAGAGAGGAATCCAGTTCTGTGCTCAGTCAGAGCTTCTGAATGGACAACTGCTTCTCACAACACTTAAAGAAAAGGTCACATTGTCCACAGAGGCCTAGCGAGGCACCTCGTTCTGAGTGCCGCTGGCCTGGGGCCTTGTGACCCAGGCTCTATTGGGGGAAAGCAGGAGGAAAGCAAAGAGCAGCAGATCTATTTTGCCAACAGTCACTATGCTGGCGAATTGGCAGGGTGTGGCAGGGAGCCTGGAGGACTCCTGTGCAGCCTACCCCAGCCCAGGCCCTTAT